GGGGCCAGGAGGGAGGATGGGCCCAGGTGCCCCTCCACTCCAGGCAGGGCCCCCACCCCTCCGTGGGTGGACCCAGCCCACCATATGGGGGACAGCCGCCAGAGCAGGGAGCAGGGCTTCCTGGGTCCCTGGTGGAGCAGCTGCGGTGCAGAGGAGGCACCCCTCAGCTGGAGGATCCGCCCCAGAACATCTGGCCTGGGGCAGAGCTTGTCTGTCCAGCCCCTCGGCCTCTTGGCCCCCCAGGCTCGCCCCAGTGAGGGGGCCCACCGGAGGCCGGACCTTCCCTTCTGAGGCCTCGGGTGAGGGTGGGCGGCGGAGCTGGCCTGAGGCAGGGGTGAGCCAGTGTCCAGCGAGCCCGCCTGCCCTGGGTGGGTCCTAGCGGGAGGGGGCGCAGCACAGCTGGCCCTATTGTCAGCAAGCCTGGCCACCTCCCTCCCCACCCCGCCCCCCAGCTGCCTGGTGGGACCACCCACAGGGCCATGAAAGGACACTCTGTTCCTGGGGGCTCAGCTGGGGGAGGGTGGGGGCCAGAGCCGCTGTGGGCTACTGGGCTACTCACGGTCTCTTGTGCCACCTGGAGGGGGAGCCTCGGGCAGCAGCGGGCACACGTGCTGGCTGTCAGCATGGCCAACCTCGGTCGTGGCCACACCGCCTGGGGCAGGCTCGCCCTCCAGTGGGGGCAGGGGTGCACCAAAGAGCCATTGGGTACTCCTTGCTATTCCTGGCCCCCTGGCTTCCCCACGCCCTGTCAGCTGTCCCTCTGTCCCCCTCTGTCCCTCTGAGACGTCAGGGCTCACCAGGGCTTCTGGGAGCATGTCTGTGCAAGACAATGTCCCAGCCAGTGTCCACCATCCTTGCCTGACCTCACAGGCCTCCTGGCTCCTGTCCAGAGGAGACTTCCACCCACCCTTCTCTGAAACAGGCCCCCGTCCTGGACCTGGTCCTTTTCCCCAGGACCCTGGCAGCACCAGCCCCAGCTCCTGGCCTGTTTTTTGGTGGCCCAAGTGGCCTCTGAATCTGCCCCAACAGGACCCCTGATGATCACGCCTCGTCCCCTCCCCTCTGAGTCTGGTGAAGATGCCCCCATGTCCAGGCAGCACCCCTCACCCTGCCCACCTGTCCCTGCTCATGCTGGAGGGAAGGAGCTGGGTCAGCGGGGACAGCTGGCTGCTCAGAGACCTGGGGACAGTGTTGGGGAAGGCCCAAAGTGGGGATCAGGGCTGCCCTCCCAGACAGGTCTCTCCAGCCTCATAGCCAGACAGTGGCCTGTCCTGTCTGGAGCCCTGCTCCCTCAGAGCCTTCTCTGGGCTTTGTGTGGCCAGCCCTCCCTGCCCCCTGCCCATGACCTTGGCCCCTCTCTGTGCCTTGTATCAGCCCAACTCCTCCTTGTCAGGGTCCTGGCCTCCAGGGA